AGTGCAGTGGCCGCTCCCGGCCATCGCAGCCTCAACCTGCTGGGCTCTGGCAATCCTTCCGCCTCAGCCTTCCGAGTATCCGGAATTACAGGCGCGCACCACCATGCCCGGCTAATTTTTGATTTGTTGCGGAGATGAGGTCTCGCCAAGTTGCCCAGGTGGGTCTCAAACCCACGGGCTCAGGCAGTTCACTCACCTTAGCCTCCCATAGCGTGGGATTACAGGCTGAACCACCGAGCCCGGCTTGAATCACAATCTTATTCCTGTTCTCACATTACGGTCTGTTCATGGCTTCCTAGCAGGGCTCTTTTTGTTCAGTGGGGGAGTTTGAATCACTGACGGGAGCAAGAAGAGAGCCTTGAGCCTTGCTGACTCCCCCACCCATTTGGTTTCCACATCTCTGGTTACTCCACATCTCTGTTCCTGTCCCTCTTTCTCTATCATCTTCGGCTCCTCCACTCTCATTATGGGTGTTTGCTCCAGGGTCAAGGACCAGTGGCCAGGAGACCTTTGCTCCCTCCTCTTTCAGTTGGTGAAGAAGCTGAGTGACCTCACAGGCTGCACCCAGGTTGTTGATGTGGGCTCAGGCCAGGTGAGTCAGAGCCTTAATGTGCTAGTTTTTTGTTTGTTTGTTTTTTTGTTTTGAGTTGGGATAGAACAGCTGGAAGGCAGGTAATTAGGCCACAGGCCCAGCAAGGCAGTTTGTGAGAAGTGGTGGAGCCAAGCAAGGTGGAATTTGAGCCTTCTGTGGGGCCTGGGACCTAGTTGTCCCGGTCACTGATAGGGAGGGTGACAATGGGTAGGGCACGGAACAGAGCCGTCTATGTCCTCCCTCTCGTGACTCCAGGGCCATCTCTCCCGTTTCATGTCTCTGGGGCTGGGGTTAATGGTGAAGAGCATTGAAGGGGATCAGAGACTGGTGGAGAGAGCACAGCGCCTGGACCAGGAGCTCTTGCAGGCTCTGGAGAAAGAGGAGAAGAGGAACCCACAGGTAGGCTACCCCTCCCGGCAGCCTGGACTGCAAGAGCAGGGCGACTTGGCTGGAGTTGGGCACTGGGCTGAGTTCCCTCTTTCATGCTGCGATGGTGTGGTCCCTGTTTCCATTACTTTCCCAAGGCTTCCCCCTTCCCTAAAGCCTCCCTACATCTCCAAAGCACTTTCTAGGTATAAGTGCTTTCCACACCGATACGTACTCCTCATAGCCTGTGTAGTGGGCAGGCAAGTGGTATTAGACTCATTACTAATAAGAAAACTGGGTCTCAGAGACAAGATTTACCCAGTTAATAATGATGGCCTGGAATTCATCCTGTGGTCTAGCTCATTCCTGTGCACCAGCTTCTCTCTCACATTATTTCTTGGGAAGTAACATGGAGCAAGGTCCCTTCCTGTGGCCTGAAGTGACCTGGGGATGGCAGAGACCTTCCATCTGCCTTTGTCCTTTCCTGCCCCTGCAGGTGGTCCAGACCAGCCCTCGTCATTCCCCACACCACGTGGTTAGGTGGGTAGACCCCAGAGCCCTGTGTGAGGAGCTTCTGCTTCCACTGGAGCACCCACGGCAGGGTGGGGCACGCTTGCTGCTAACAGGCCTCCATGCCTGTGGAGATCTGAGTGTTGCTTTGCTGAGACACTTCTGCTGCCCGGAGGTGGTGGCCTTGGCCTCAGTGGGCTGCTGCTACATGAAACTGAGTGACCCTGGTGGCTACCCGCTGAGTCAGTGGGTGGCTGGGCTGCCTGGCTGTGAACTGCCCTACAGACTTCGGGAAGGAGCCTGCCATGCCCTGGAGGAATATGCTGAGCGGCTACAAAAAGCTGGGCCTGGCCTCCGGACTCACTGCTACCGTGCGGCGCTGGAGACAGTCATCCGATGTGCTCGGCCTGAACTCCGTCGGCCAGGCGTGCAGGGGATCCCCAGGGTCCATGAGCTCAAGATTGAAGAGTGAGGTTGGGGCAGGTGGGGGGCGGTAGCAGGAGATCACCACCTGGAAATCTGATTCCCCTCCCACTCCCACTTTTAACATGGCCTAAAGAAAACCTAAATGCGCCCAGAGGAGTGATTTGGAGTTCTCTGGGACAGCATCTCAAAATTTATTTGAAAGGGCGTTGTCCCTCTTTTATCAGGAGACTAGCAAAGAAATAAAGTTTTTTTTTTTGAGTCAGAGTCTCACTCTGACACCCAGGCTGGAGTGTGGTCCTTCCACCTTAGCCTTCCAAGAAACTGAACTAGAGGCATGTGCCACCATGCCCAGCTAATTTTTTGATTTATTGTGGAGACAAGGTCTCGCCAAGTTCCCCAGGTTGGTCTTGAACTCCTGGACTCAGGCATTCCTCTTGCCTCTGCCTCTCAAAGTGCTGGGATTACAGGCGTGAACCACTGCACCCAGCTGAAAATGTTTTGTTTTGAGTTGGAGTCTTACTTTGTCGCCCAGGCTGGTATGCAGTGGCACGCTCATGGCCACTGCAGCCTCGACCTGCTGGGCTCAGGTGATCCTTCAGCCTCAGCCTTCCAAGTAGCTGGAACTACATTCATGCTCCACCACTCCTGGCTGATTTTTTGATTTATTGTAGAGATGAGATCTTGCCAAGTTGCCCAGGCTGGTCTCGAACCCGTAGACTCAGGCAATCCTCTCACCTCAGCCTCCCAAAGTGCTGGGATTATAGGTGTGAGCCACCACGCCCGGACTGAAATAGCATTTTGTTTTGAGTCGGTGTCTCACTCTGGCGCCCAGGCTAGAGTGCAATGGCATGCTCATGGCCACTTCAGCCTCAACCTGCTGGACTCAGGTGATCCTTCTGCCTAAGCCTTTCAAGCAGCTGGAACTACAGGCGTGTGCTACCACGCCTGGCTAATTTTTAAAAATTTATTGTAGAGATGAGGTCTCGCCAAGTTACCCAGGCTGGTCTCAAATCCTTGGGCTCAGGCAATCCTCTTGTCTTGGCCTTCCAAAGTGCTGGGATTACAGGCTTGAGCCACCGCATCCAGCCATTGAAATAGTCTTTTTATGCTAAAAATATGACTAAACAATTAGAACTGGCTGGAAAATAAATGCTTGCATCTACTATTGTACAAACAGTTCACAGCCAGAGCAACATTTAAAAACTCATATTAGTGTAGAAAACCAGCAAAGTTGGAATCGAATTAGGAATGGGCAAAAAGTTGAAGTGGGAGGTGGAGGTTCCTAATACCAGGCTGAGTGCTGTCTATGGCTGATCCCACAGGTATGTGCAGCGGGGCCTACAGCGAGTAGGGCTGGACCCCCAGCTGCCGCTGAATCTGGCTGCTCTTCAGGCCCACCAAGCCCAGGAGAACCGTGTAGTGGCCTTCTTCAGCCTGGCCCTGCTGCTGTCCCCACTGGTGGAGACGCTGATTCTACTGGACCGACTACTCTACCTTCAGGAGCAGGGTGAGGGTGGGCTACAGCAGGGATCCAGGGCCAGAGGGGCTGGGGTTCTGGGCTCCTTCTTAAGCTGAAGTCCCAGTCCCCACATCTGCTGAGCCTGGCCCGTCACTGTTGGTCTTCTTGGACGACTGCTTTGGAGTCATTCATGGGGTAGGGGGTTTGTTTAAAAACAGATTGCTACCAGGTGAGTCTCTGGTGGTGCCTCCCAAAGGTGCATTTTAAGCAAGCGTCCACACACTGAGAACCTACAGTGCATGATGACTGCCCCCCAAGTCAGTGCCTCTGGCACCCATGTTCTTCTTCAAGGAGAACAAGGTCTCGTTAGTCCTCCTGAAGCCTCCCCCATGGGAAATAGCTGCGAGGCACACGAGCTGGGCAGGAAGTGGCTGAGTGAGTTTGGTTCATTTCCCCCCTTCTGAACAACCCTGCCTTTCTCCCAGGCTTCCATGCTGAGCTCCTGCCCATCTTCAGTCCTGAACTCTCTCCCAGAAACCTGGTTCTTGTGGCCACCAAGATGCCCCTGGGTCAGGCTTTCTCTGTTTTAGAGACTGAAGACAGTTGATGCAACCTGATCAAGGGCACATCTCAGACCCCATCTAAAACCATCCAGATACTCAGTATGGGAGTTTACGCCTCACCCAGAGAACCAGCATCCTGTATCCTCCTGAAGCCTTGTTCCCCACAAACCGTGTTTCATATACTTTCTCTCCTGTTAATGTAATATTGTGTAAAGCTTTATTTTTAATTTATTAAAACATAGAGATCTTTATTTCCCTTCCATTTTTATAAAAGGAGCAACTTGCACCCTCCCCTTGGCACTGCTGCAGAGACGCTATTTTGGTCTCACACTCCACTCCCCACTGTCCTCCCTAACAGGCAGCCAGGTGGCAGCTTCTGTTACTCAGAGGTCTCCGTCCCAAGATTTGCAGTCCCTGCCCCTTGGGAGGGCTGCCTTACGGCTGGAGAACTTCCATCCAGGTTCTGGTTCTGTCACACATCAGGCGAGATCCTGCTTGCTTCCTTCAGTCCCCAAGACAGGTATATTGGGGCAGGGGTCCCCTTCTCCCAGGGACAGCAGTTCTTTATTGGCATCTGAAAAGTGGTACCCAGTCCTGGAGGCTGAGACAGGAGTGGCAGAGAAGCCGTACCCCCAGGCTCAGTACCAATAGACTTTCCTGTATCTCCGGGTCTCCTGGATCCCCAGTGCCTCCATCACCTCCTCCTGCAGTGTCTTTAGACGAGGCACGTAGGTTCTTTCTAGAGTGTCTTCCACAGATGTGTCTTTGGGACCATCTGTCGAGCCAAAGGAGAGGAGACAGGTGGGAGGGCTTGCCAACTTGTCTTAACATCCCCACCTCACTCCTACCACCTTCCTGCCCCTCCCCCATACCAATCCATGTTTCAGGGATGATGCCGTCAGCTCTGGGAAACTCAGGTTTGGGGATAATTCTCCCTGATCTTGTGGAGACTCGTACCCGCTCTCCTGCCTCAGTAAATCTCCACTCAATCTCCGTAGGCTTCCTGGTGGATAAAAGAGGTGAGTCAGGTCCCCTGCCACCCTCCAACACAATTGGAGGCAATAGTTGAAAACACCAAGGTTACCACCTTGTCTCTCTGCCTCTGTACTGGGGTTACCCACAGGGAGTTGTGTCCATGAAATGGCCCCTCTCAGTTTCCAGAGCATTCAACCCACAATCCCATTGGGCGACACCTCTGTAGATTCAGTGAGAAACCCTCTGACTAGCACCCCATGTGCTTGCCTGTCCATAGGATCCACAAGTTTGACCTGGCGGTGGAGCAAGGGGGCTTCACTAGGGATCATGGTTCCCCGGAAGTCCTTGGTCTTGCCAATGTAGCGGTAATGCTGTTCAAGAGAGGGGGTGTCAGAAAGCATGGGGTACGATGGGGTCTGCCCATGCTGCTCAGCACATTAAGCCCAAGTTGAAAAGTAGAAGGTTCAGCCAGTCTCCTGCCCCACGGTGCTTCTCTTAATAGAGAGGACATACGGGACAGTCTTCCTAGCATCTCCTTCCTCTCTTACCGTGTTCAACCCCTCCAGAACCACCCAGTTTCGCTGCCGGATGACTTGAACCACTTTGCCCTGCTTCCCAGCATCCTTGCCTTCTAGGATCTCCACCTGTGGGAAGAGTCAGAGAGGGGGATCCTTGCCCAGGAGCCTCCCCATCAGGCTACCCTGTCTGAGGTTCTCACCGTGTCTCCACAGAACAGATGCCAGTCGTCATCAGAGATGGGTTCCACAGCCACCGGACGCCGTCTGGTCCCTGGGGGGTTCTTCCTTTTGTCTGCCAGGGAGCCTGGGCGGCTCATTCCATAGCGGTAATGGGGTGGCAGACTGACCTTGGATGCCAAGGCCAGCAGCGCAGAGAGACGCATGGCTGGAGGCTGTGAGAAATTCCTTTGCCAGCAAAAAGCTCAAACTTCCTGTCAGCTCTGAGGTAAATAGATAGAAATGAGGGGGCAAAGAAGCAAGGGAAGGAACACTTTTTTTTTTTTGAGTCAGAGTCTCACTCTCACTCAGGCTGGAGTACAGTGGCATGCTCACAGCCACTGCAGCCTCGACCTGCTGGGCTCAGGCGATCCTTCCATCTCAGCCTTCCAAGT